TTACCTTCAGTTTGTTAGCCTCAGTTTGTTAGCCTCAGCTGTTACCTTCAGTTTGTTAGCCTCAGTTTGTTAGCCTCAGCTGTTACCTTCAGTTTGTTAGCCTCAGTTTGTTAGCCTCAGCTGTTACCTTCAGTTTGTTAGCCTCAGTTTGTTAGCCTCAGCTGTTACCTTCAGTTTGTTAGCCTCAGTTTGTTAGCCTCAGCTGTTACCTTCAGTTTGTTAGCCTCAGTTTGTTAGCCTCAGCTGTTACCTTCAGTTTGTTAGCCTCAGTTTGTTAGCCTCAGCTGTTACCTTCAGTTTGTTAGCCTCAGTTTGTTAGCCTCAGCTGTTACCTTCAGTTTGTTAGCCTCAGTTTGTTAGCCTCAGCTGTTACCTTCAGTTTGTTAGCCTCAGTTGTTAGCCTCAGTTTATTCGGTTTGTTAGCCTTAGTTGTTAGCCTCATTTTGTTAGCCTCGGTTTGTTAGCCTCAGCTGTTAGCCTTCAGTAAGCAGCACTTTTCAGGTGCTGTTTTGGCCCAGTGATCACCTCCTTCATCACTTAAATTAAAACTTTTATTGCAGAACATGTATGATTARCTTTAGCTTAATCTCTTCAACATTGCCTCTTTTTAACTTGTAAAATATGAACTTTTTTGTATTCAATCATCCCTTTATTAATATTGATTTTTACTTTTTCAGTGACCAACAAGGCAGAAAAAATGCCAGGTAAAAACATTTTTTTAAAACCTTACATTTTAATCCTTCTTATATTAATTAAAAGCCACTTTGGCTGATTAGAAACAGAAAGATAGGAAATTTAGTTAATCTAACTTTATAGATCTGCTTATTATGTGGAATTAAAGCAATGTATTCCAGTTTCTACYCAAAGTAAATGGTGTTTTTGTTTGTACATATTTTTTCAGGTTAGTCTTTTAAATAAGACTATAAAATGGCAAAAGAAAAAAGATTCACACATAAAATTATCCCCTGCTTTTTGCCGTTGCAGAGAGGCTCACAGCCAGATCGAGAAGCGTCGCAGGGACAAGATGAACAGTTTCATCGATGAGCTGGCGTCGCTGGTGCCCACCTGTAACGCCATGTCCCGGAAGCTGGATAAGCTGACGGTCCTGCGAATGGCGGTCCAGCACATGAAGACGCTCAGAGGTGAGCAGGAGCTTGAAAAAAACAAAATGTTTCTTGCTGCAAAGGCAGTGATTAGGGCTGTAAAATCTGGACTGCAAGAACTGAAGTGATAACTTTTATAAAATACACTTTTAATCCTGCAGATTAACACTGCCAGCAGTTACAGTTTTAACAGTTTGTAGTCGTTAAAGGCAAAATATGCTAAATATTTTCTCTTTAAGCTTCTCAAAAATAAAAACATTTTTTATACTCATCAGTCTGACATTAAGTAATGTTTCTAATAACATGAAAGGGCATTCTTTAGTTAGTTTTAGTTTTTTCGATTTGAAGCAAAAAGGTCAGCTTTTTCTCATTTTTAGTTTCATTCCTAATAAAAGATGGAGTTTTACAGATTAGCTGCACAAAAAAAAGTGTTTATTAATTGAAACGAGCTGCTCCCATGTCKGTTTCTTGTTTTCTCTTTGAGAATAAAATAGAAAAATGGAATAAAAGCAACATTTTTGAGCGTCTACGAATGTGAAGGTTGTGTGGGAGAGCTCGTCGTTCAGATTAAAGGATGGAGAATTGGTTCTGGATGTCGGAGCTTTCAGCAGCTCAGCAATCTGCAGTCCTGTTGACCTTGTATGGACCTGTTTTTAAAAAAAAAAAAAAATCAGAATTCACGGCTGTGTGGAGATACTAAAGAGGTGCAGGTGTATTCTAGGTGCACGTCAGTGTGAGCTGTGTGTGTTTTCTGTGCAGGTGCAGCAAACCCGTACACCGAGGCCAACTACAAGCCTTCCTTCCTCTCAGATGATGAACTGAAGCATTTGATATTAAGGGTGAGTGCTGATGTCATCATAAACCGTTTTTATTATCATTTTTAATAGCATGAACGTCTGTAATATGATGTCTTTATTTTGAGGATCAGTTGAGATATTAAAAAGACGCTTGATGTAAAAGATTTTTTTGTCTGTTTGAGACTAATTCTACATTTATATTGTGTAATTATTTGTGTTTGTTTATTAATGCAGGCTGCTGATGGTTTCCTGTTTGTGGTTGGGTGCGACCGTGGAAAAATTCTTTTTGTTTCAGAATCTGTTTACAAGATTCTCAACTACAGCCAGGTAAGCTGACAGCTGAAGAAATGATAAAAAAACATCACTTGATTGATTATTTTCAGTTTCCTTATTGCTGTTATTGTTATTCTTTAAGCTACTCTGTACTGAAGGACAGTTCATGGCTGTGTCTTTTAAACAGGCCGTTTATGTTGTGAATCGGTGCAGTGATTTGGGGGAATATTGTTTGAAAGAAATAAGAAAAGCCGATCTGAGTCAGAAAATACAAAAAAAAAAATTTTTCTGCTAAAACTAGTTGAGACGGCTCGGAGCTAAATGACTTTACTGAAACTAGAGAACTTGAAAATGAGTTGTTTAACCTAAAAGAAGCAGAACAGTAGCTAAAGGCAGCAACAAGCTAGCCAAGTTGGCAAAAAGAGCTGAAACTAAATAAAGAATAAGAAAAAATAACTAATAAAAAACCTAGGTAAAATAACAAATGTAGCTAAAAGCTAAAGTGTATCAAAAGGCTAGAAAAACGCTTAAGGGAGCCAATTGGTAGCTAAAACCTAAAATGATCAGAACAGTAGCTAAAAGCAGCAACAAGCTAGCTAAATTAGCAAAAAGAGTTAAAAGCTAAAAATAGAAAAATTGATAACGTATAAAAAATAGCTAGGTAAAACAACAAAAGTAGCTAAAAGCTAAAATGTGTCAAAAGACTTGCAAAAAGCATAAGGGATCCAATTGGTAGCTAAAACCTAAAATTATCAGAAGAGTAACAAAAAGCAGCAACAAGCTAGCTAAATTAGCAAAAGAGCTAAAAACTAAAAATAGAAAAATTGATAACATATAAAAATAGCTAGGTAAAACAACAAAAGTAGCTAAAAGCTAAAATGTGTCAAAAGACTAGCAAAAAGCTTAAGGGATCCAATTGGTAGCTAAAACCTAAAATTA